ATTTCACTTAGTGCAAAAGTCGCCTCCCAACCCGGGGAAGAGGCGTGGAGGAGGGGCGGGCACAGGAGAAGGCAAGAGCCCAGTAGTGTTGCAGATGCGGTCACCAGTCGAGTGACCAGAGTCCCAGCCACGATTTCTTGAGCAACTTTAAGCCTCGAATGACATGATGTTTCTACCCCCTTCATCCTCACTGGGTCCCTCGGAAGAGCTCATTAATTAAAAAAAATAATTGTAGAGAGGGAGAGGAAAGGGGGGAGGGAGAAGCATTGATTTGTTGTTCCACCTACTGATGTGTTCAATGGTTGTTTCTTATAGTGCCTCGACCAGGGATCGAACCTGCAACCTTGGCATGCCGGGAAGACATTCAAACCAGCTGAGCTGCCTGGCCTGGTGGAAGAGCCTCTATTCATCCTTCAGGTCTGATCTGATACTCAGTTTCCAGAGAGCCTTTCCTTTTCTGCCTTGAAGACAATTAACAATTGGAACCAAGGTGTGCCTGACTGCAGAGGGACCTGCCTAGCTGCCACCGCTGAGTCCCATGCTGTGAAGATGCCCCTTGGCCCCTGGTCCCCCTTAGGGACACAAGCTAACTACAGTCCAGTCACTGCAAGGGGACCTGTCCAGTCCCCACCACGATGAGCCGAGAGAGCAGAATGGGTGGCGAGGAGGGTGGGGAGGGCGGGCTGGGCGCCTGCCCTAGGAGGAGAAGTGGGAAAGGAAGTAACCTGGGGCCAGGTGTTGGGGTTACAGGTGAAGGCGTTACTGATACGGCTCAGAGCAAAAGCGGCGTCGGGAAAGGATACACCGCAGGAACCAGAAGGTGAATTCAGAAAACTGTTCAGCCTCTCAACAAGTCACAGAAACCATGGCCTTCCAGAGACAGAGGAGGCCTTGGGGGGCAAGACACCGTGGTCTTCAGATGCCCCGGGGCACCAGGGAGGCCACTCAGGACGGAGGAATGGAGGACTGTCAGAAAACCTGGCTGGCGTGGCTCAGTGGACTGAGCACCAGCCTGTGAACCAGAGGGTTGCCAGTTCGATTCCCAGTCAGGGCACAGGCCTGGGTTGTGGGCGCACGAGAGGCAACCACACACTGATGTTTCTCCCCCTCGCTTCTCCCTCCCTTCCCCTCTCGCTCAAAGTAAATAACATCTTCTTAAACATTAAAAAAGAAAGAAAACCACAGCTGGGACAGAGGAATAAAGTCTGCACGGGGGCAGTGGGACCCAAGGGGCAGGCACAGAGACGAACTGGCAGAGATGTGGGAAAAGACACCGCACAGGGTGCTAACGCAGGCGGAGCAGCGCGGGGTGGGGGTGGGGGACTGAGAGCAGGCAGGACCTTGGACCTGAAGCAGAGGTCACAGAGAGAGACGGGCGTCTGGGCAGGCAGCACCACAGAGTCGTCGCCATGGAGACCGCCCCAGGTCCCACATCAGGAAGAAAGCCCTGAGCGGCCTACCCAGTACCCAGACAGAAAGCACTCACCCCCCCGCCACCCATCAGGGACCCGCAGATTTCCCCTCTGAGCCTTGAACTCCCGGGAGACCGGAGCCACGGCCCAGAGTGTCCAGGAGAAATGTCACCACCCCGGACATTCGGCCTGTCACCAGACTTGTTTGTTTTCGATGTGTGAACTCCTGTCACAGGACCTCACACTGCCACACGTGACGGAGCCTGTGTCTCAGACGGGACAGCCGGACGGATTTGGACTCGACCTGCTTCCTTGGGCTGCTGCTCATGGAATCCAGCCTGCGAGGCCCACCGTCCCCTGCGGGTCAGCGGCGGGTGGCCGACCGGCTCCGAGCCAGGGCCCAGCTGGTGCCCTGTCCGACTGGCCTCTATGGACTCAGGCCACCGTCCTGAGAAAGAGACTTAGAAAACCAAGTCTTTGTTCTTTCCCACAAGCCAGAGGTCTTTTTAAAAACTTTCAGCCCAGTGGCCTTTTAAAAAACTTTCGATGCTGCAGACTCCGAAGAATGGTATGGTGCCCCTTGAAAAACCATGACAAATGTCACTGGGTTTCTTTCGGTGGGAGCAACAAAGAAACCAGCTGGTGACAGCGGTGTCTTGCTGCCTAGGACCCTTCTTCGTATGTGTGTCTTGACTTCAGGACTTGCTGGTGCTTTAGAAACGTCTGCTTCCCGGGCGGGGAGACAGGGCCGGTGGGAGAACAGAATGAAAGTGAAAGGAGGACAAGGAACCGGAACTCACACACTGGATGTGTGATATTCCGCAGTGAGCACAGATTGTATCGCCGGAAAGGAAACGCATGTTTTCCTTCCACCCAAGGACACTGGAGGGCCGTGCCCCACCTCTGGTCCCTGGTCCTCCCCCTCCGAGGGGGCTGTGACTGGAAAAACGCCTCTTTGGGCATTGAGGGTGTGTGTGTGTGTGAGATTTCCTGCAAAGTGTTCCCTATTGGAGGGGGGAATCGCCCCTGTTTTGCAGGGGACAAGCTGCATCGGGGCACAGCTGTAGGGTCTCTTTCCTCCCCTGAAAGGCTGGGCTTCCCCAGCGGAGAGAGAACCTGGGAGAACAGCCGCTGGAGCGGCTCAGCCCCTCCCCCCGGGCCGAGGAAGCACACTGTCACGAACTGGGGACTCTTTACAGCTGGGCCGGAGGGAGTTTCTGGCTGTAAACTGCCACGCACTGCAGCCTCCCTTGAAAAGGCAGCAGAGAGCGGAGACGCTGGTCCTGACAACCCAGGAACAAAGATCCAGAAAGAGGAGGAGACGTAGTAGCTGGGGTGGGGGTGCGGGGTGGAAGCCGGGAGTCGCTCCCCAGCCCCCGCCGGGCCCGCGACTCGGCTCCGAGCTGCCGCCACTGCGGCGCTGAACCCTGGGCCTCGCTCTCCAGCACTTGGGACGCTCGTGACGGAGACCGGACCTTCCCTTCTGCAGAGATTTTATTCTGTTTGGCCCCGTCCCTCCCGCTCCTGGGGCTGAACTGAGGTTAGCGCAGTCTGGGCCGGTCCGGGACACCTCCAGCAATGGGAGGTTCTTGTAGGACTCGGAGGAAGGCGACTCCCAAGCGGTCAGCGCCCAGGGAACGCCCGAAAGTCAGACGTGTCGCTCCAGACCCGGGCCTTGGAGACCCTCGGTTTGCCTGGGACCCTGGCCCGCCTGCCCGGCGCCCTTCCCCTTTGTCCCGAGTGAGGAGGTTGGGGCGCTGTGCGGCTGGAGGTGACGCTGGAGACGCTTCTATTCCCTCAGGAGTGACTCCGCACAACCCCCAAAGCCCAGGGTCGGAGAGCCGGGCGGAAGGGCCTCCGGAGGGTCTGGCCCGGTGCCAGGAGCAAATGAGGTCCTTTTGGTGCCTCTTTGCAGAAGGAAGCGACCGCCCTTCCCCCGGTGGACCCCGTGGGCATTTCCATGCAGAGTGAGAAGTTCGGACGGCGCCCAGGCGCGCGGGTCTTCTCCGCCCCTCAGTCCCCGTGCGGAGCGGGCAGAAAAGCAGCCGGGGAAGCGCGGCCTCGCGGTGGCTGGCCCGGGGGGGTGCGGAGGCGGGGCGGTCCTCCGCCGGCCTGCGCCCGCCCTTCCCGCAGCCACCCTGCAACTCTCGGCCCTGGATCGCGGGGCAGGGTCGGGCAGGGAAGGGTTAACGCGGGGTGCAGGTTCCACGTCCGGCCTGGGGAGCCCCTTTCTGGGGCACAGGCCGCTCTGCACTGGGCGCCCCACCGGCGCAGTGGCTCCTCCCGAGGGCGTCCGGGTGAGGTGCGCGCGAAGGTCGGGAAGCGGGCGGAGACCGCAGGCGGGTTGAAGCGACCGGCAAGGGGGTGAGAAGCGCACCGCCGGCGCTCGACTTCTCGCTTCTGCCTCTTGCCCCCTTCCTGGGCTCCCGTTTTAGGAGGAATGTTATTGTTTAAAGAGACCCTATTGGAAACTATTTCCTGCTCATTGTCACCTTTCCTTCGCTCTCCTCGCCGAGGTTCTCACCAAAAGGTAATAAACCAGCCGCGCCCCACCCCGGCCAAGCGCAGAGACCGCGCCGGGCCGGCAGACCCACCCCGAACTTCGCTCTCCTGGGGGGCCCCAGGCCCGCCCCCTCCCACCTTCCGCAGAAATAAAGACCAGGCCACAGAAGCCGAGGAAACTCCGGTTCACACTCAGTGCACGCGCAGATCTCTCGTAAAAGTTCTGACTTTATGAGGAGAGCGAAAAAAACTTCCATAAAAGGGGTCGTTGGTTGATTTTTGTCTGTTTCCTTCTCTGGGAGCCGGGCCTCTCCTTCCAGACGGGTGAGAGCCGCGGGGATGGGCGCACTGGGGCGCTGATCCGCGGTCGTAGTTGTTAGTGAAGCCACCTGAAGCGACGCGAGGCGAGGGACCTGTCGGGACCGGAAACCGCTCCGTGGAGGACTGAGCCTTCGGAGGATGCAGGCCAGCAAGACCCGGGCACCCTTAAGCTGGGCCGTGCGCGCTGCTCGCGGGCGGGGGGACGGAGGCCTTCAGGCCCGGGCGCGGGTGAGCGACGCGGTGCGACTCCAGGCTGGCACACCTGCGGGATCCAGGTGCGCTTGGAGAGCCAGGAGGGCCGGGCGCGCCAGAGTTGGGGAGCGTCGTGGGCGGCCCGACAACCCGTAGCGGACGTGCGGGCGGGGGCAGCTCCGGTCCCCGGCTCCTCCCACCTCCCGGACCTCCTCCCGGCCCGCAGGGCTTGCCCGGCCGCTTTGATGGAGGTGCAAACATTTGGGGGAGGGCGGAGGTGTAGGGGCTGGGCCGGGGCGCGTAAGTCGGACCTCTGATTTAACATGAAACAGGCGCGCGGGAGTCCATTGTTGGCTGGGGCCTCCCCAGCCTGCCAGGCCGGTCTGATATGGCCGCGCGCGGCCAATGGGCAGCGGTCCCGGCACTTCAAAGGGAGCGCGGCCCAATCCGTCGCGCCCCCCTCCACGGCAGCCACTGCTGTATTTATGGAGAGGGGACCGATTTTTCTGTCCCCAGAGACCGACTCCAGTCTAGCCTGGAGGGAGTTCAAGTGGAATAACCTCCCCCCCTTCCCCTGCCCCTCCCCCCCCAGGTCTCCGTTCTCTCCCTTCCCCCCGGGTCTGTGCTGGGACCCGGGTGCGGTTGCGGGTCTGGGCCGGAGCCGCCGGTCTTCTCCGAAGAGCGGCCGCCACCTGGGGCGAAGGTGGCTCTGGGATAGCGAGTCGGCCTTGGGGGCGGTGGGAGGGCGGCGGGAGGATGAGCTCCCCGGGCGCCGAGAGCGCGGCGAAGAGCCTGCAGTACCGAGTGGACCACCTGCTGAGCGCCGTGGAGAGCGAGCTGCAGGCGGGCAGCGAGAAGGGCGACCCCACGGAGCGCGAGCTGCGCGTGGGCCTGGAGGAGAGCGAGCTGTGGCTGCGCTTCAAGGAGCTCACCAACGAGATGATCGTCACCAAGAACGGCAGGTGCGTGCGCGGTCCGGGCCTCGGGGTGCAATGCGCACCTGGGCGCGCGGACAGCGGAGAAGCCTGGGGCATGCCTCACTGCCCAACGTTTTTTTTTTTTACTCGGGTGGAGGTCTCTCTGCTCATTTCTTCTCGAGCTGCAAACGGCCCCGTGTGGCCCCTAACCAGCGTCCTTCCGGTGCTTCTGGTGCTTTTAGTCATGGGAGGCTAGGGGCTGCTCGGGGGAGGGCCCATCCCGGGAGCGGCACCTGGCCCACTCCCGCCCGGATCCTCCGCGCCCCTGACTCCCTGAGGCCGCGGAGAGTGTGGAGGATGCCCGGGGCCCCGGAAGGGCTCTGGGAAGTTGTAAGTCCCCAAAGGGGCTCCTCTTTGCCCAGAAATGACAGACATCCCTCTCCCACGCGTTCTGCTCTGGGTCCAGCGCGCTGGATCCGGGTCCCTCCCGCTGCGCTCTTTCCCTTCCAGGAGGATGTTCCCGGTGCTGAAGGTGAGCGTGTCCGGACTGGACCCCAACGCCATGTACTCCCTCCTGCTGGACTTCGTGGCAGCGGACGGCCACCGCTGGAAGTACGTCAACGGGGAGTGGGTGCCGGGGGGCAAGCCGGAGCCGCAGGCTCCCAGCTGCGTCTACATCCACCCCGACTCGCCCAACTTTGGGGCGCACTGGATGAAGGCGCCGGTCTCCTTCAGCAAAGTCAAGCTCACCAACAAACTTAACGGAGGGGGTCAGGTAGGTGCAGCGGAGCTGGGGAAGGCTGGACCTTCTCCAGCAGCCCGGCTGGGTCTGGGAGGGGAGGGACAGCGGCCTGCGGCCTGCGTTTCTTAGTCCGGCCTTCCCCTTGGCCTGCAGCGAACTGGGGAGGGTCAGGCAAGGCCTGGGGAACTTGTGCTGAACTTTCCTAGAGGCGGAGAAAATGCCACCCTGGGTGGTGAACGTCACTTTAGAGCTAATGGGCACCGCAGTACCGAGTACGAATTCTGAGCAAATGTGTGTGTCTGTCCTTTGTAAGTGTCTCTACCTGGGGATTGTTACGGGCTCATGGTTCTACAGCTGCAAACCAGCCCCAGCGTTTAGAGGTTGTCTGTGGCCAGCGGGGAAGCTTTAGCACCCCATTCCCCCGGCTTGGAAGGTTTCTCGGTGGGCACTCACTGCCGTCACTGGTGTGCAGCCTCTGGTGTGACTTTCTCCGACTCCCGGGAAGCAGCTCCTGAAGGGGAAGCCCACCGACTTGAGCCGGTGTCTGGAAGCAGCTGGCGTTTCTGTGTCTGGGGTGTTTTTTTCTCCTCCACGGTGGGGCACGTGGGTGTCCCCTGGCCTTAATTGGGACTTGGTTACCAACCCCGCATTTGTGTCTCCCTCAGATCATGCTGAACTCCTTGCATAAGTACGAGCCTCGAATCCACATCGTGAGGGTCGGGGGCCCGCAGCGCATGATCACCAGCCACTGCTTCCCCGAGACCCAGTTCATCGCAGTGACGGCGTACCAGAATGAGGAGGTGCGGGGGGGGGGGAGTCCCGTGACTGGGGGCCGCGCCGCAGGCGGGAGGGGAACGGCCTCTTCCAATAATTTGCCACGGCTACGAAACTGGGCCGAGGCGCGAGGTGTTGAACATAAGTCCTCGCGAAGCTTCCCCTTAACTTTCTGTAAAAGCGTCTACAACCAGAAATATCTACCAAACGCCCAACAGGACCAGATGTGGAAAACATTCGGGTAGAGAACCGAGAATTTCCTGAACAAACCTGGAGTGAGAGAGGGGCGTTTTTCTGAAATGGGTGGGGGGCAGCGTCCACCCTTACAGCACGAATCATCGACCAGGAACAAAACCCTGTTGGGCGCCTGTGGGCCCCGCGTGAACTGGCAGGTCACTGCTCCACGAGCTTGCCCGGGCTGCGGTTCGAGCTCCGTTTGTCTGGTTTGTACGCACACAGAATACTGTCTGCAGTGGGTCTGGTTTCTCGTTAATTCCACTTGGAAAACCGGCATTTAATAACTTTTCACACACGTGCTGTTCCTTACTAAACAGCACAGGTCCTCAGCCAATTCAGACCCAAACAGGAAAACGCATCTGGAAAGAAGTCTGATTGTATTTGAACACTTACTTAAAAGCCTATGAGTGCCCCCCGCCGGTTCCTGGACCAGGTTAAACTCCCCACCTGCCTCCCACAGGCCGGTGAATGGGGTTTTGTGTTTTCCAGATCACAGCCCTTAAAATCAAGTACAACCCGTTCGCGAAGGCGTTCCTCGATGCAAAGGAAAGGTGAGTGCGTTCCGATGACCCCGTCTGGGCAGAGGTGCGTTCAGAAGGACGAGACGGAGCTGTGAGGAGCACCTGGACCGGCCTCCTTTGTGACGGCACCGTGCCCTTTTTTGACAGAAGTGACCACAAAGACGTGGCGGAAGATCCTGGAGACAGCCAGCAGTCCGGGTACTCCCAATGTACGGTTTGTTTGCTGCACTCTGCCGACCCGCCTTGTTTCCAGCCCGGAGTGCGGAGAGCCGGGGGCTGGGGGTGGTGCGGACCCTGGCATCTGTGTGTGGTTGGGGCACACTCGGCCCTTTGCTGTCAGGTGCAAGGGCCCTGTGGTGCTGAAGGTCTCCCACCCCTGCTGTGCTGGGGCTTGTGGGTGCTCCCCCCACTGCGGCCCCCCTGACAGAGAGGTCTGGGCAGAGTTTGCCTGGCCCTTCTGTTTTGCTCCAAGGCCACTCGGGCCAGGGCTGGGCCAGATCCCCAGACTTTGGTGGCTGTTTGGACTCTGCCGTGCGGGGCAGGGGAGAACCGGCTCCTTCTGTCCACCTGAGGACGGTCTGTATGTCTGCTAGTGACTGAAAGCTGAAGGGCCGGCTTCAGAGCGATGCTCGGGAACGGGCATGGTTTTTCCCCGAGGGGCTGTGGTTCTGGGGTGAGCATATTCACGCAAGCTGGTCTTCATGTCCACCAGCTTGTCGGATGGGAAGGTCAGCTTTAAGTGCAGCTTCCTTTGGGAGTTCTGTGAGCCAGGGCACAGGGACACACCTGGGGGGACTTTGTCCAGCTCTCTTCTCCTCCTTGGGGGGGACCTGGGTGTCCCAGTCACCGACGCCTGCTGGGTGAGAAGTGTTAGTGTTTGCCGGTCCCTCAGGGAGGTGGATGAGCAGGGCACACTCGCCCGCTGTGTTCCGGGGATGTTTTTCCTTCTGTGAGAAACCATCTCCTAGGCCAGCCTGACCGCCGGCTCTCCTGCAGTGGCCAGGGCCTCCCGTGGGGGTGGGGGTGGGGGTGGGTGGACGGCTCGGCAGGCCCGTGCGTGGAGGTGTGTCCCGGCCCCGTCGCTCACATGTTGTCTAAAGAACCCGCTGTAGTTTGGGGCTTGGAGTCAGAGTGATTGTTTCAGTGAAGGTGGCTTTTCTGAATTCAGACCAAAACAAACTCAGAATGCTTAAATAAACAGGGTGGAGAAGAAAGTGGGGTTTTATCAGAGAAGGGGGTGGGAATGCTTTTCTGATGGACGTGTCTGGCGGGGAGAACAGGGGCCTTGAACAGGAGAAAAACGAGCGGGAAAGGGTGCGCCCCAGGCCCCATGGCGGCTCCCGTGCGACTGTGGGTGGCTGGCGCTGTGTGTGGAGCAGGCCTGGCTCTGAGTTCGCCTGTGTGTACATTTTATTCACGCTCAGCGTGGCTCGGCATGGCTGGGGAGAAGGAAGATCAGTAAGACACAGCCCATAAGAGGCCGAGGACTCCGGGGTTGGGGGGGGCAGGTCTGACTGGACCAGCTGGGGACACTGAGCCGTTGGCTGAGGCTGGGGTCTTTCAGGTTTTCTCAGGTGCCCCGTGGGTTTCAGAACCTTGGTCAACCTGTGGCCTCTAGTGCAGAGCTGATGCCACGATGCCCTGAGTCTTGGGCTGGACGCTCGGTGTGGACACTGTGAGTCCCACTTCATCAGGGAGCCCAAGGAAAAGAGCCACAATTCCCTGGTCTTAGGTCTCCGGTCCTACCGGCAAGGGAGGTACCGAAATGCCACTGCTTAGCATTCTTTCCTCACAGCAGGGGGGTGGCTCCTTCCTGGAACCAGCGCACTGTGTCCCCCAGCCACCCCCCACCCTCAGTTCGGAGGCCCCCTGCCACTTCCCTCCACACACAGCTGCGAAAGGTACCCCGCCCTGAGGAACCACCGTCCTTCCCCCTACCCCAGCCCTTACGCCCATCGGAACAGTTCTCCAAGTAAGTGGCACGTGGAAGCCAAGGGGGTTGGAGGCCGGGAAGACCGCTCCTGGGAAGGTCTCAGTGGGGCCCCGGGGGCAGGAGAGGGGAACCTGTCCAAACGCACACCTGAGCCCTGTCGTTTGGGGGCTCTGGGTCCTTCATCTCCCGTCCACGCCGTGGCTGGTTCAACCACAGAGCAGCCCCGGCCAGGGGCTCTGGGTGCACCGGATAACGCTCGACCCGGTCCCCCTTGGAACTGCGGGTCTGTCTCTACGGCCTGGGGTTCAGATGTTTCGTGCCCCCTCCACGGCGGGTCCCCAGGCACAGCAGTTGCTGGCTCGCTCGAAGCCCAGCATGTTTCCAAATGTCGAGCCTGGGCCACCCCCGCTTAGCCTGACACCACCCCGGACTTCTGCATCAGAAGCTCTGGGGGGCCCGCCAGGGTGTCTGCACAAGCCCTCGGGGGACCCCAATGCAGGTCAAAGTGCAACGAGCACCAGGCTGGCCCATTAAGATCTTACTTAATTCTAACACCATGTATGTCTAGACTTAATTTTGTCTGGCTCCAAAAGGAGGGAAAAAGCTAATGAACATCATAAAACAATTAAGCAATTAAAGCTGATTCGAAATGAAAGAAGCTTATTTGGTAGGAAAAAGTCGTGGGGACTTGCTCAGCCAGGGGCTGGACTCCGAGGCCAGAAGATCTCTCTTAAATCTTGGTTGGAGTCTCGGTTTCTGAAGCCCTCTCAATTCTTAAGAAAGAATTTTGGGGGAGGAGGCAAGTTACAGTTACATTTACTTTTATATTAAAATATAATTAATCCTCAGCCAAGTGACTGTTGGATTGTGTTTCCACCGGTCAGCTAGTGACCTAATGACAAAGAAGGAGCCTCTGCTGACAAGGACATAATTTGAAATACTGGGGGGGGGTCGGCAAAAGTAGGTTTACAGCTGTTCGAATGGAAAAAGTGCAGGTGACGATGACGAACGTCACAGGAGGCTGCAAACGTCCTCTTGCCCACACCTGTGTATACGTACAGCCTTGGGCCACCAGCGAAGCGGCCGGGGGTGACTTTTCTCTGGTCCTGGTCGAGGGGCCGCAGTTACCAGGGGACACTCACTGCGTTTTGTTGCTCTTGGGAAACCCCAGCAACAGTGGCTTGTTCTTGCTTCCTGTAGCCTATTCCGACACCGCCCCCGCCTGCCTGCCCATACTTCAACCCCACGACAACTGGCCCAGCCTGGGGGTGCCCGCCCACGCCAGCATGCTCCCCGTGAGCGCCAGCGCCGGCCCCCCTGCAGGCTCCAGGTAAGGGGCCCGGACTGCCAGCCACGTCCATTCACGGGCTGTTATTCTGCCCTTGCCTGCGGGTGGAGGGGCTCTTATTTGTGATTTGACCACTGGCCAGGTATGAGCCTGCCCCGGGCTATGGGGGTGGGCGGGTGCTATGAGCTCCAGCTGCAGCCTGTGTCTCGGAGGGACCGGGGGCTCCGCAGGGCGGATGGGGGCTGGGCCTGACCAAGAGGGACCCAGGACCTATGCCGGACAGTTGCTTAGACTTTGAGCCTTATTTCTTTAAGAAAAAGATACTAAATAATCCAAGCCTTGACCTGTCTTTTCATGGGATTGGTAGGGAAGTTTTTTTTTCTCTTTCTTTTTAAAAAGATTTTATTGATTTATTTTTAGAGAGAGGAGAAGGGAGGGAGAAAAAGAGAAACATCAATGTGTGGTTGCCTCTCAGGCACGAGCCCTGACTGGGTATCAAACTGGCGACCCTTTGGTTCATAGCCCACGCTCAATCCACTGAGTTACACTAGCCAGGGCTAGATTTTTTAAAATATATTTTTTCTTCATTTTCCAATTCCAGTTGGTGTTCAGTATTATGCAAGTTTCAGGTGTGGGTCGTGGGGGTTATCATGTAACTTATGACGTGGCCCCTTGGCAAGTCTGGTGCCTGCCCAACACCATACATCCCCATCACAGCCACGCTTCCGTGACACGTCCTTATTACAGCATCGTGGCTATTACAGCATCGCAGCTTTCATTAACTGCCAATCTGCACCTCATAGTAGGTGAATTTTGAAGAAATGTGCCCAGCATCTTTTTTCGAGCAGGAGCGATTACATTAAGGAAATCGTCGGCTTTTCTGTGGACCTGGAATCAGAGTCGTTCACATGCACACTGGCTAACTGGCAAAGAATGATGACTGTTTTCTTACTAACTCGAAAATTATATAGAAGGAGATCAGCTTAAAAAACCAAGCAGATCAGTAAACGTATTACATGTCTTCACAGAATTTGTATAGTAACGACTAACTAAGCTAGAGGTCAAGTCCTTTTTCGGATGAGGAAGCCAGTTCAGAGATGAAGTGGTTGAACCTGTGGGCTCCCAGCTCAGCGAGACTGGGGACAACCTATCTCAACCTTAAAAGCAATGCGGCTCATTGTAAGAGAATCCCGAATGTACCTGAAGTGTCCACTCTTTGTGCCTAGGAAACAACTCCTTTTTAATAAATGAGAACCCACTGTCTGCAAACCAGCAGACTCTCAAGAGCTTTGAGGCCACCTGGACGCCTGCGCAAGGATCTCGTGACCTGCCGGTGGCCAGCTGCCAGCCTTGGGGACTGGGCATCTCAGGCCTCGTTTGTCCCAGCTGTAACATGGGCGTCATGCCCTGCTTCTCTTAACTCAGGCTAGTTAGCAAGTTCGAATCCATCTGAAAGGCAGGAAGTGGCTTGGCAAAGAATACGCACAATGCAGCGTAAGGTCTCATTCATTTATAGACAGACTCTCCCCAAGAGAAAGGCATTTTTTCTAAACAAACCTAGGTCTTTAGACTAGAGGATGTAACAGCTACCTTCGACCCCTCACACAGATTGGAAGACGGCATCAAAAGCAGCCACAGGTCAAGTCTCAGATGACAGCTGGCCGCGGGCAGAGTAGGGATTCGCTGGCAGGTCCCTTGCTTTCTGTTGTGCACCATGCCATTGATGTCACAGGGCAAAGTGCAGGCAGGGCTCAGTGTCCGGGTGGGGGCCGCTCTGGGGGGTGCCCCTGTTTTCGGGGATGCGGTCTGCCCCTGTCCACCCACATGCCGTGCACATCCTCTGAGACGCCTGCGTCAGCCTGCCCGGGAATTCCGGACTCCGAACAGGAATCCCAACCTCCTATCCTGAAGTTTCATTAAAACATTTTTAAATTTTTTTAAAAAAAGTTTATTTAATTGTTGTTCAAGTACAGTTTTCTGTTTTTTACTCCCATCCCAGCCGATGCCCTCAGTGCTCCCCACCTCCCTCCCATTTCCACCCCCCTTAGTTCTTGTCCATGTGTCCTTTATACTAGTTCCTGTAATTTTTTGTTTTCTTGAACAACAATTAAAATAAATTTTAAAAAGACAAAACATTTTTTTATTTTAATCCTCACTTGAGGACATTTTTATTTTATTGTTTTTAGAGAGAGAGGAAGGGGGAGAAACATGGATACAAGAGAAGCACTGATTGGTTGCCTCCCGTATACGTCCTGGTCCCTTGCTGACTGGGAATCACCACCCCCCCCAAACTCTGATTAAGGGACTGCGCTCTAACCAACGGAGGCATACGGCCAGGGCCTGCGCCAGAGTCTTCAGTAGCAAAACGTAGCAGCCTCTGCCCAGAGCCGCCCATGAGCCTGCTTCTTGTTGATAGACACGACAGTGACTTACACACGTCTGTGTGGTTTGATGGACGGGGCACAGCGGGCTGGAAGATACCACCTCCCCCGGATCCCTGGAGTAGGGCTTTCCGAGTTTGGGTCCTGTTCTGCCGCCGGTCTGCAGCCTTCTGGAGCCTCCTCCCCGCCTCTGACTCATCTGTGTTTCCATTGCAGCCAGTACCCCAGCCTGTGGTCCGTGAGCAACGGCACGGCCCCGCCGGGTGCACAGCCCGCAGGAATGTCCGCCGGGCTGGGGCCCCAGTTCTTCCGAGGGCCCTCCACCCAGCCTGCAGCCCTCGCCCACCCAGGCTCGGCCTCCGCCTCCTCGGGGTCCCCGCTGTACGATGGGGCCCCCGCGGCTGCCGACGTCCCCGACAGCCAGTACGACGCGTCGGCGCAGGCCTGCCTCATCGCCTCCTGGACCCCCGTGTCGCCGCCCTCCCTGTGATCACGCCGCGTCTTAAAAGACGCGATGACTTTGTTGTGGCAACCAGTGTTGATGCCATTGATCTACCAGGTACAGGTGGCAGCCTCGCGGGTCAGGGGAAGGAAACGGCCCTCTTTCCCCACTGCCACCGGGAGGACGAGGACGCATGCGCGTTGTGCTACTGCTCAGGCGGCCCCGCCCCCGTGCCCCGCCCGGGCTGCTCAGGGTCACCAAGGGGTCACCCCTGCTCAGCAGCCGGGTTCCTGCAGGTGGCTGCGTCCCTTGCGATTGAAGGTAGAGCAGACTGCTGTGCGCCAGGAACTTTCCGTTTTCCTGGATCGGGCGCATCAGAATTGTAAACTCCGCTAGAATGGGCTCTTTGAGCAGAGGTAGCGGACTCTTGTATTGTTAAACCCACCCCTGTTTATGGTTTTGTTTTGACAAAGTAGCCAGACAATCAGCGGAAGGCAGTTTCTGCAAAATAAAGGATATGCAACATTTGGTCTGTCCAGTGATTATTCAGACCCCTCCCCTTTTGCAAGAGGTGCTGCTGTTGGTTACAGCCTGTGGCAAGGACCTTGTCCCAAAGACACGTTTCCCTCAGCTGTGGACCTGAACGTTCCATCTGATCCGTGGCAGAACTGAAAGTGAAATATATCCACATATTTATTTCCTTCGAGTGAATTGCGGAAAAAACGCAAACCATGCTAAGTGATTTTAAAGACACTGACACAGGCGGCTCTGGATCACGGCAGGAGGTGGGTAATGACAGAATGGGGAAGGGACCGGTAAAGGGACACGAGTTAGTGTTGCCGCCATCCGGCGGGGAACCAGAGCCCGCCAGTGCCGGATCGCGGCACTTCCTCCATCTAGTGGCAGATCCTTAATTTCAGTTTACTTCTGGAACCTGGGCCTTCTGAGGTCACAGGGGATCCCATTTGAAGAGCTCGGTGACGAAGACAGTGGTGGTGGAGTGGTGTCAGGGATGTCCACGGTGACAGGGGGCTTTGGGACTTCCCAAAGGAGCAGGCGAAGTTGCATCTTAAATCCAGCAGGGCTACCGTCTCACCCCAGGTGCTGCGGCTTCCCTGGGCCCTGCCTGCTAGTCCCGGGACTCTCGGGAACTCGTTTGCCTTATTGAGTGTAGAGCTGGGACTGAAGTGTGGACACCTGACTTCCTGGCGCCTCTGCGCCAGCTCCGTGGGGGACACGCTGCTTGTAAATGACGTGCTTCTTGGCTTGGTGACTTACGAGGTATGCTTGCGCTCCATGCACAGAAATATCCCGAATCAGAAGAGTGATGGACAGAAATGTATCAGAAGAATATTTTTGAATAAGCCACTGCCCAAGTAGAACTGGGAAATAAAACTGGCTCCATTTGGGATTTCGGCTCTTGCCCAGTGTGGGTGGGTAGCAGGGTCTGCTGAGGGGGTGGGGTGACTCCTGTGAGCCCTACCTCTGGGCCCCCCCTCACTGGAAACTCCGTGTCCTCCTGCACCTGGCTGCTCTGGGAAGCCTGCATCAGGACTCTGTATTCCGAGGACTCCCCCAGCACCTGCCCCTTCCCGGGCCTTAAGGAGGTTTCCGAACCGGAGCCTGAGCCCACAGCTCTGGCCCACAGGGTGCTGCAGGCTGAGGGAGACTGAGTCACAGGGCCCTTCCCCCAGGGACTATCTACTCTGGCTGGGGAGACAGGATCTTGACGTGTCCAGAGGGACCCAGAGTTCATGTAACTGGTATTTTAACAAACGGAGCAGAGTCTCTCTGGTTGAGCAGTGGGGCCGTGGCGGCCGTATGGCGCAAGGAGCCTGCGATCCAGCACAGAAGACCCGGACCCGGGCCTCCGTGGGCCTCGCTTGCGGTGGGACCCGGAAACCCTCTTTTATCCTCCCTCCATCTGTCCCTGCGGTGGCTGTGCCACTGACCCTCGGCTCCCGTGTTAACAGACACACTTCTTAAAGTAAGCCTTGGTTCTGAAAGCAGGAAGAGCACACGCGGTGACCGCAAAGACGGGCGGCGATGTGGATGGCAGTCCCGTCGGGAACGACACAGCCCGACCAGGCAGCTTGCGGGCTGGGCGTCGTGCTTCGAAGCCAGAGGTGGCCGACGCAATTCCAGCCAATCGAACGAAGCTTCTCTGTCTCATCAATGCTTCCCTCTCTTCCTCTAAAAATAAATAAAATCTTTGAAAGAGAAAGCAACCCCCCCCCCAGCATAAATAAAACAAGGTGAGGCATCCTTAGGGGAAAAGCCCAAGGTGGCAGCCGGGTCCAGGAAGGACCGGAACAGTCCCCCAGGCCCTGCTCTGCAGACTGCAGAGTGGCCGCCTCTGACCAAAGTGGGGACAGAACGCTGGTGCCTGCCGGTCCTCACTTCCCGGGCTGTGCTTTCCAGAAACTGACCTTGAGAAGGTTCTTGGGGTGAAGGTCCGAGCTCCGAAAGTGTAGCCCTTCTTCAGTTCATCGATGCAGGTGTAGAAACCCCTGGACATCAAACAGCAGGCAGTCGTCCCATTCTGGGGGGTCACCGAGGTCCCCACACTCCCCCAGCCAGTCCTGTGAGGAACCCACCTGGTGATGAGGCCCACGTCCCAGCACCTGGCGTCCCCTCCTTGGTTCCTGCTCCAACCTGCGCTCCGCCACGCAGGGTTTCCTGAACGGGGACTGAAGTGGGGATCACACTTGTTGTCCCCATTCGGACTGCGGCTTGTTGCAGTTGTAAAAAAGATGTTCTTTCCTCGTTGGTTGGAGAGTAATTGGCCCTACATGTGCTTTTCCCCCTGGGGTTGGTGTTGTGTTTATTAAACAAATAAGCAGACAAGACGACCACCCCCCTCCATTCTTGTGCCTACCGCGGACTTTCTGTTCCGATCTGTGTTCCTCCCCGCGGGCCAGTATTGCGCGGCCTCACTGTAGCCTTCTAATAATTCTCGAATTTAAGGAGCGAGCTCTCCAGACTTTTTTATGGAAATTTTCATAGCTGTGTTAGATTTTCTTTTTTGCATTTCCAGATAAGTTTTAGGGCCAGCTTGTCGAATTTTTCAAACACACCTATGGCCGTTTTCCGGGAATTTGCCCTGAACCCGGTGGCCGTTCCTGGGACGTGCCGCCATGACCACACCTCCTCTCCTCCGTGGACGCGGGACGCTTTCCGACTCGTCCGATCGTATTTAATTTCCCCTGGTGGGTCTCGTGGTTTCCGTGTAGAGGCAGCACATACGTTTTCGTTAGATTGGTTCCCAGCGATCTGACACTCTTTAATGTTGTTATAAAAACAGTTAATACTGTAATTTTACTTTTCAGTTGTTGCTAGTATGCAGAAGAATATTTAATTTTGCTACGTGCGTTGCCCTTGGGGGCTGTGACCTGGATAACGTCCCTTACTGGTCCCAGCAACTTCGGGGTTCTCCGAATAGCCACAGTATTTGCGAATCGTGAGTGTTGTGCCTCTGGGTCGGCTGGGTGCCGTTTGCTCCCAGGTCGGTGGGAGGCTGTGGACTCCAGGAAAGAGAGGCCGGGAGCGGCAAGAGCGGGCATCTGTGCGCTCTTCGCAGACTCGAGGGCCGGGGCTCGCTGTGGCGTCAGCTGTCGGCCCTGCAAGCCGAGGGCCTTCCCTCGTGCCCCCAGTTCTCCAACGGTCATGCAGGGACATTGAACTTAGTCGATGCCCATTCCCGGCCGCCGAGACCCACACACGGTCGCCCCTCCCACGTCCCGTTCACATGGGGCACATGTCATTTTCGAATGGTCAGCCGACCCCTCTGTCCTCAGAGCAGCGCCACTGGGTCACCGTGGAACACACACGTTCTGTGTGTTATTGGAGTCATTCCCTGGTATTTGTACAAGGATGTTGTGGATGCATCCCTGAGGGATGTGGACGCGAAGTTTTCTCAGGGACGTCTTGGTCGCTGTTCGTTACCAGGGCTGTGCTGCCCTTGGAAAGTGTTTTAGAAAATTCGCCAGGGAAGCCATTTGGCCCTGGCGTTTCCTTTCCCCTTTTTCCCTTTTTAACTTTAAAAAAGAGTGTAGTTTTACTTCCTTGGCTTCCACCTGTATGACATAAACACGCAGTCTTGCTCCGTTTAGAGGCGGCCACAGGTGTCCCCAGTGAATCTCACAGAGGAAGCGGTGTCCGGAGGCGGCGTCCGCAGGTGGGGCCCCCACTGCCCACGCTCAGCGGCGGTGCTGCAGCCGCACCCCCTGGGCGCCGTGGGGCGGGGGAGAGTCAAACCGCACGGGGTTTTGCCTCCCGTGCGCTGGGCTCTGTCTGGTGATTCTCACGTGGGTGTGAGAAGCACGGACCTTCTCTCAGGGAGGGAGGTGATTAATGTTAAAAATGCTCGCTGAACACCAGCTATTTGCTATCATTCTGAAATTTGGAGAAAATATTTTGTTGATTCAAAGATCTTGTTACAAAGAGAATTGTTATTAATTTAAACAATCAAGGTATGATGAAATATTTACTTTTTTTTGTAATCTTCGTCTTTCAGATCTGGAATTCCATCTAGAAACTCTGTTTTAGCATTTCTTGCATTTCTTACAGCAGGGGCGTCAAACTCGTTGTCCCCGGGGGCCACATCAGCCTCGTGGTTCCCTTCAAAGGGCCGAATGTAACTTTAGGGCTGTGTAAATGTAACTGCTCCTTAACAGGTGAGGGAGGGCTGGGCAGTGCTGCCGGGTAGAAACCAGGTGCCGGGCCGGGTGGAACAAGGTGGAGGCCGGGTTGGGCCTGCGCCTTATAGCTTAGGGTTTGCTGCGCGTGAGGTCTTGCAGCTTTGCGAGAAGCTCTCATTATTTCACTTTCAGAGCTGAGCGGTATTTTCACTGGGCATAGAATTCTACTTTGTTCGTTGTGTGTTTTTTTGTACTTTCCCTTGTCTCCCAGCTTCCACCATTTCTGGCAAGAAGCCGGTGCCATCCTCACCATCACTCTCCTGTACTACGTACCAGGGGTCCCCGACCCCCCGGCTGCAGACCTGCCAGGAACCGGGCTTGCCTGAGCTCCGCCTCCTGACCCCACACCCTGAGTTCTGCCTCCTGTGTTGCCACCCGCCACCATCTTCCATGAAACCAGTTTCTGGTGCAAAAAAGTTTGGGGACCACTGCCATATTCAATAAGTCTTGTTGCCCTGTCCAGGTTGCTCAGTGAGCTAGAGCGGCATCTCACACCAGAAGGTTGCAGGTTCGAGCCCCAGTCAGGGTACGTGCCTGGGTGGCAGGTGGGGTCTCTGGTCGGGTACATATGACAGGCAGGCAACCAATCGATGTTTCTCATGTCAATGTTTCTTTCTCCCCCTTCCCTCTCTAAAGTCAATAAACATATCCTCGGGTGATGATTAAATTTATATACAGTTTTTTTCTTTGATGATTTTAAGACCTGTTGTTTGCCTTTTGGTTTTCAGCAGTTTTACCAGATGTTCCAGCTTGGTGGTTTTGCCTCGGGCCCACTGAGAGTTTTCTACCTGTTGGGCAG